CTTGAACATGTCTGCAACTGTTATCCAAAACCCGAATGGACACATGTATACACTGATGGATCATTGGAGGGAGCAGACAAAAATGGAGCTGGATTTATCATCATGCTGCAAGATGGGACCATAGTAGAAACGTCATGCGCCTCCGGAAGACTCTCAACAAACTTCAGAGCAGAGCGGCAAGCAATTATTGATTCAGCCAGAGTGCTCGAGGAAAGAAAAATTAAAAACAGCAAAATTGTTTTCCTTTGTGACTGCATGTCAGTCCTCCAGGCGACTCATAGGGATCCACGAGACAACATGGAAAGAGAAATGACCCGTCAGCTAAACAGACTCACAGACAACAATCAAATCGTTCTCCAGTGGATCCCGGCTCACTGCGGCATACCAGGAAATAAGTTAGCAGACATGCCCATTCATTGTCATTACCAGAAATCAGAACACTTATGAAAGGAAAATACAAGGGATTGTGGAGAGAACAAACTAACAGTAAACATCCACAAGACCCCATCAGCAGACTCAACAGAAAGCTACATACAACAATTTTCCGTCTACGAACAGGACACTGCAGGCTTAACTACCACATGCATAAAATAAAGATTGTACAGTTCCCCCCAGTGTGCCTGTCAAACAGGACCCCAAACACCTCAGCACATTCTACAGACCTGCCCACTCTACCTGCAACTTCGAAAAGACACCTGGCCTCAAGAGCAAAGTGTGCAGAGCAAGCTATGGGGAACCATGCAGGACCTGCAGCTGGCATGCGAGTTCATAGAGGCAATCCACCTGATGGTCTGATCTGAGCATACGAAACCGAACGCAAAGAAGAAGAAGAGTATATATATAGCGGCTGGTCTTATCACGGCCGACTCTATTTATATTGAGAAGGCGTTGGTCATACAGATTTCCCTTTCGCAAGCGCACAAACTGAACCACACATCAGCAAAGTAACTTACGCTACATCCACACACACACACACACACACACACACACACACACACACACTCGCGCGCGCGCGCGTGAATACCAACAACTGACACAAAATTCTACTTACCACTTCCCAACACAATTCTATGCAAGTATGTATGCATGTAGTAGTAGTAGTAGTAGTAGTAGTAGTAGTAGTAGTAGTAGTAGTAGTAGTAGTAGTAGTAGTAGTAGTAGTAGTAGTAGTAGTAGTAGTAGTAGTAGTAGTAGTAGTAGTAGTAGTAGTTGTTGTTGTTGTTGTTGTTGTAGAATTAGTAGTAGCAGCAGCAGCAGTAGTAATAGTAGTCTTCGCGTTCATAGACTGTAACTCCAGCAGAGAGTTCTGGTTGTTTGTCCACCTCTGGACTTTAGTCATTAGGCAACTCTTACGAGCTTGTTATAGGGGTCAGCTAATTGGGGGCTTACTTTGAAGTCAGAGTACATTTGCCCGAGCAGCAAGGAACAACTAACTGCACACAAATAAGCCAGTAAAATGGATGTTTATGCAGAACAGTCCCTAGCACAAAGCCAGTCTAAATGGACGAACAGTCTGTACTTTCCGTCGGATCTTACAGCTGGTGAACAGAGAATAAAAACAGTGTCTCATCGGAAACCGGCTGGCAGTGAAAGAGTTAAACTTCTTTCAAGTAAAAAAGAAATGAATTAATCAAGTAACAGAAAGTGTATTGATCGGCACTCATAAAAAGAAGTAGAAAGACAGAAGAACACACTAGACAACATAAAAATCGAAAGCTATAGTTACCATGCCGGGAATTGAACCTGTCACCTCCAGACGGCGTCTGCGCCACGCCATGAATACAAGTGCACTAAGAACGGTCAACCAGGCACCCCCAAAAAGGTGTCTTATTGGCCATATCTATCGTACAGTTTGAAATCCACAACTATGGAATACGGACAGAATTCATTTCAATCCATTGAAATGGCACCATAGGTTACATAAATTTATATTAACGAAGCATATGTCGAATAACAATCACAGCAACAATTTACGAAAACCGTAGACCTTATTGCTTTGTCTAGAGTACACAAACATTTAAGAAAGGTATTTGATTGTTAGGTTCTGGTGTGTATACGTTTATTTATAAGTAAAAAAGAAAGTTACATACATACAGCCATGTACTTGAATGAAAATAAAAGTGAATTTTCATTATCGTTACATTCAAGCTTGCAAACATTTGCTTGGACGCTACGCAATTGTAATAAACTAATTACTATGTCGAGAAATTATTTAATACATTTTGTTAAGCCCTTAAGGATATACACAAAATGATTTACACTTTGGGCTAATACTTAAATGGTAGAACACCTACAATCCTACCCACGGGGTTACAGTTGTATTTGATTTAAATGATATATCGTCCATGACCACATTACAAAGAGAACTGATTACAGTTAGTTTATACTACACTCTCGGGTTTATGAGACCAATGCGAAGTACTTTACGTAGAGAGAGGGGGGGGGGGTGATGCGGGGATTTTGGAGGAAGGGGGGGAAGGGTAAAGTGGGTGTTATTAAATGAACGCAGGTCAGCAAAATGTATGTCTAAATAATATAAAGAAATTGTTGACCTGGATTCTGAACGAAGTAGACTGGCGACGTAATACTGGCAATAGAATTACCAAAGAGGAAGTAGATTCTTGATTTTTCAGGGAGATATCTTAGAGTTAACCTGTTTTTTTTTTCCCACCCGTATTAGTTTTAAAGCGAACATGTCACATTGTCCTAGATTTAGTCAAATGGTGATAGTTTTATCAGTGCGTCCTGTTTATATTTTTTATATTGAAGCAGCTTATCAGAAATTGCAGCTACCTCAGCTAAAAAATATTTATCTAACAAAACTGCATTCGCACATCGTATTTGCACAAGTTATATATTGGGTCCAAATACTGTATACCAAAATTATTCTAAAAATTGTTCGATTAGATTTGCATCTGCGACAAAAGTTATTGTAAAACGCTTGCATCTTGTGCTGTAGATGCCAGTTCACTGTGAATTTCAGTGCATCATCACCATCATGTGCTGTGTCAGTTGGCGTAGGCGCTCATGCATCTCCCTGGTTGCCTGGAACAGCTCGCTTGATAATATTCCTGCATGCTATCGTTTCAGCCCACCCAGTATAATCTCTCTTGGTCCGTCTCTACCCCTCTTTCCACTGATCTTTCCAGTTGTCGCGATGTTCTCCAATGCCTCTCTACTCATTACATGGCCAAAGAACAGTGTTTGTCTCCTTCTTATTGTTTTATATATAGATCTACTTTTATTAACTTCTTTCAAACAATCGTTGTTAGTTACTCCGGCCGTCCAAGGTATTCGTAACATCCGTCTAAGAAACCACATCTCTGTTGTTCAGTGCAAGGCTGATTAATAAAAGAGAAAGTAATAAGACGGGCATGGAAATATACATTGTTAAAAGTAGACTAAAATTCAAGTTTAGTAGCAGCTCGTAACTGAAATTAGTGGGGCTGCTTCATTGTAACTTTCTCTTATAGAGACAACAGGGAAAACGTAAGCTGCTTAAGTTGACAGTATCAAATGAAAATAGAGGAATTTACATAATCAATAGTAAACAGTAATAATAACAAATAGTAAAATAATGCATTATTATTTGGTTATGTAAAGTGTAAACGTTGATTATAGCCGTTACATGCAGGCTTCGCCACTGCAGTAGCAGTAGAAGAAAACTCAAACTAGGCATGTGGTGCACGGTACCACTTCCCAGAACAGCGTTTCCCAACTATTGTGACTGGCAGATCCCTTTTCAGAATCAACTCATTTTGTGGAGCCTTGGTCTGCCTTGCGAAAAAAATCGTCATCTTCAACCAGCAACCCCCAAAAAGGAGCGGGGGGGGGGGGGCTTTTGGGGTCCTTTCATAATATTCTACCCTAGATAACTTCACAGGACAGTCCAATATTTTAGAGACCGGTAGATTTTCCCTGTTTGGGGTAGGGTATTAGGAAAGTACCGCTTTTGGTTATAATTGTGACTAGGTTTGTGTGCGTCATTTAAAATAGATTAACTAATAGTCCCGAAAAGGACTCTTGCAGAGTTGATCGTAATCGCAGTCGTAGAAATCAAACAAAAATTCCAAACTTTGTCCTCTTTCAGCTGCCCAAAAGACTGCTTTATCAATGTTGATGCGATCAAGAGAGACAGACCCAGATAGTCTCCCGACCAGCGACGAATTCGCTTACCGGTCAGCCAATGGACGACCTGGTCACAGATGATAGTCGGAACTCCTTAGGCCTACCTTATTCTATATGCTACATGTTAATGGTGTTTAGAAATATTGTTACAGAGCGGAGGAAGAGGGTGTAGATCGTTAGGTAATTTAAAGTAAAGAGACATATTAACAACTGTGCAATGTACATGCAATGGAATTATATTTTAAAACCTTTTAATTTACCATAATAGTAAATTTATTCTCAACTACCACAAATACTGGTACTATTGTAAAAACCGGCTCATACATAAGAGTTCTCCCAAAATTTAAAAAGTCAAACAATTGGCATTATAAAAGATTTTCTACTGTTGAGTAGCAATAAGGCCCACAAAATAACGATTACAAGTTTAACGAAACACTTGTAGTTGCACAATTTTGCATCTCTCTTATGTCAGGTTAAACTATTGGTAACTGGTAATTGCAGGCGAATGACTGGCACTGCATTTTTTTTTTTTTTTTTTTAAGTTTTCATAGTGTACGGAGAATCTTGTTTAGCTGATTTAATTTGATGTGATTCAAGAACCGATATCACAGCACTCGGGGCATTCCTATAAGCGCTCCGTCCCCATCTGCAGCAGCCATGAAAGAGTTCCGATACTAATGGTGCCAGTAGCATTCTGATTAAACGTTCGTCTTGCCTTTCCTCTGAGCCTGTTTAGCTGAGAAAAGCAGCAAAACTAATTTTGTTTTTTTTTAATTTAAATTTATTCATTACAAGCCAATATTAAAAAAACAAATATTCATAAGACAGTACTGACAGTCATCCAGTATCACAACACTACATGCTAATCTCATTCACTCAACACTGCTGATCCATCGAGATCCTGCCTTGTTCATCAGTCGCTTTGGAAACCAGCCTGGCCTGGGTTTGTCTATTTTCACAACAAACTTTCCCTCAGGAGCCTTCTCACTTTCGTAAACAAAATCAACCTCTAATCTTGGGATGTTGAAATGCAGATCCTCCCCCATCTTTGCCTGCATTTATTGTTTCCTTCCACACCTTATCATAACAGTGGCCACAGAGATGTCCCTTATCTTTAAAGTTCCCAGATTTCAAGCATGGTATTATAGTATTCTTTGGCATAGCATGTTCCATAAATCTAGTAAAGCTATGTTTTCTTCTTCTTCTTCAGCGATCTCTGGTCATGCACATAATCCACTGTTTATCATAAACTGGGATGTCTTTTCAAGGTCTCTTAGGTTTCCCCAAAACTTAGTTGTCAGTTCTACTGGGTGTTGCCATATGTTGCTCCGCAGCTCCGTCAGGAGAGGACAGTGTGCAGGATATGTTCTGGAGTCTGTTCAGCACGAAGGCACTGACAGAGAGCTGTTTGGCTCATACCTAATTTATATGAGTGTTTATTGAGTCTGCAGTACCCAGTACGTAAGCGAAAAACTGTGACTTGGACTGTTCTGTTCAAGTGTTTCAGAAAATCTTTTTCGTAGTTATAACCAGTGTTGGTTTTCCAATCTGTTTCTGATTTTCTCTTAATGAGAGTTTTGAATTCTGTAAAAGATAGTGGCGGATAGGTCTGTGGTTTGTTACTGCCTTCCTTGGCTAAAGCATCAGCGCTTTCATTGCCTTTGATGCCACAGTGAGATGGAATCCACTGCAAGTGAGTTTCTGTCTTTTTTGACAACATAGCAAGTTCCTTTGTTAGACTTGGTAGTGTGCTGTCGGTAGGTTACGACTCAATGGCCTGTATAGCTGACAGTGAGTCAGTGAGAAAAACCAACCTGCCTGCGGTGATTTGCAGAATGTTCATATACTGTGCTGTCATCAAAAAGGCTGAGAGCTCTGCCTTTTAGTTAGAGCAAGTTTGTCCAGTGGGGGCTGCCAGGGACACAGTAGTGGCATCTGGGTGTTTTATGCAAACACCTGTCCCACCATTTGTAGTTGCCTCTTTTGCTGATCCATCCGTGTAGATTTTCGTCCAGCTGTCCTGTGGGAACATGTTGGTGTGTTCCATTGTGAGTGCTTTCTTTACTAAAGTGCGATGTTTTCTAAAAAGCCGTTTTTCAAGCGACCGTCTGTGTTTGGAAACGGCCAGCAGGATTCCATTAAATATAGATGTCAGTGGGAACTGTTGCTTTGTTGAGCAGGTAGTGCTGAACTAATTTTGCTTTCCGGTGTACAATTTTGAATTCATCCTGTATATGCAGCCAAAAACTCCGACAGACTTTAGTTTTGAAACGCTACGTTGAGAAAGTCGGCTCTGTGGCCAAGTCGATGCGAACGCTTCGCTTCGTAATGCCAGGATGCCAGGTTCGATCCCAGCTGCGGGCAATGCGCCTTGCGCTGGTTTCAACAGTGGTATCAAGAAAGCCCACCGTCCAGAGGCGATGGCAACTGCTGAATGTAAATTGCTTAGAGAAACCACACACAGCAGTCAGGGGCTGTTAGGGTTGGTTCTGCAACGTCCTGTAAATGATACGCAACTAACTTACGTTGAGAAAATGGATCACGAGATACTTTTTATTTATTAGTCTGTTGGAAAAAAAACGTTTCAACGACTGTTTCAAAGCTTCGAGATGCGCCTGAATGTTTTTCTCTACCGTTTTAAACCTTGACTGTTTTTGTTTTTTCCTTAAAAAAAATTTGGGTGGAGGTGCTGACAAAATGTCAAGAAATGTTTTTTTTTTAATTCACACATACACGCACGCACGCACACACACACACACACACACACACACACACACACACACACACACATTTAAATATATGGATGTGGTGGTGCAGAATGGGGTGGGAAAGTGTTAAAGGAAATGTTTCGCACCGGGCACCACCAGACCTTGCTGCGCCACTGGGTCTGTCTTTAAAATCTCAGGGAGAAGTGGCGTTAATACCATATAGACAGTTTTAAGCGGATAAGGAACGAGCATTAAGGACAAGGAAGTTCAATTAGTCAGATTCGGTGACTGTACAACAAGTGTCTGGGTTAGTATGGGAAGTTACTTATCTGTTTACATACAATTCAAATTATTTATTTGCGCGCGTTGAAATTAAATGATTTAAAAAGCTGCCATTGCAAAACATAAATCTCAGTATGTTGAAAATTAAAAGTAAAGGGATGTCTTTATGGCCGAGGCAAACCGCGTCTATAATGTAAGACTCAAATTTTATAGACCAGTCGACACTTGGTGGGTAATGTAGTGAACAGCACACCGGCCGCCTTTACTATGTGTGGTATTGTTTGATTTGTGTATATGCTGATGAAGGCTCCATAGCTGCAACGTTCACGTTTTGTGTGTATTTGTTATATTGTGAAGCTTGATAATATACTTTTCCTTCGGTTTTATATTTTTCTTACTAACCATGATATTGCTTTGCACAAATTTAGGTTGTGGACCTGCAAACCGGTCGATAATAAAAATTTTTAAATCACTTTCGGTGCGGATTCGAACTCAAGACTTTCGAGAATGCCGGCCAATGTCAACCCAATACGCTACAGCGGCTTCCAGTGGGCAAGTGGTACTAATCACACACAAAATCAAGACGTCTAAACCAGTGTTGCTCACACTGTTAACACCCGTAGTTTACATATGACACAAATTTTGTGTGCAATCTATTCTACGAATGCCGAACTTTACAAAAACGAACACATTGAAAAAGTGATATTTTTGTCATAAATTGGAAAAAAATTCCTTGTAGTGACCCCTTAATACGCATAATCAAGGAAAAAAAAAAAAGGTTCTAAAACCAAACTGACTACACCGAGAAAGTAGTTAATACAGACAGCATGGGTGGTGTTTTGGCATTGGAGAAAAAACTGTGTGAGTGTGTATATATATATATATATATATATATATATATATATATATATATATATATATATACATATATATATATATATATATATATATATATATATTATATATATATATATATAAATATATATGTTTGTATATATATTCACACACACACACATTTATATATGTTTGTATACACACACACACACACACACACACATATATATATATATATATATATATATATATATATATATATATATATATATATTACGGGATGCTGACCACATCACCCACCAATTGCCGAACTGGTCTATAAAATATAAGTCCAGCCCTATATACCCAATACGCTTAAAGGCGTGCAAAATGGTCCTCTACACACACACACACATATATAACCTTCAGTACCTTTGTGTGTGTGTGTGTGTGTACATGTGTCCATACAGTTCGTAATCACATAAGTAAAGGGCATTTGTCCAGGCCTTCCAACGCTTTGAGTATATCGGGCTAGACCTATACTTTATTGGTGGATCGGCACTTGGTGGGTGATGTGGTAAGCATCACGCCGGCCGCCATGACTTCCCATGACTTCTCTGGGTACTCATTTAAGACTGTCTCGACCTGGGAGCCAAGTCCATTTTAAAAAAACAATCCCTCTCTGTCGGGAACAGAACCAACTACCTTCCGAACCGCAGAAGAGCGTCTAGCCGCTACACCACAGTGCCCCCTTTGTCACTACTTACCTATGTTATTTCCGTGTTCCCATTTCACCGAATGTGTTTTCCCTAAAATATGACTCGTACTTTAGTTAATCTCCGGTGTCTACTAAACACATCATAGTTTTTTTTCCCTACAACCGGACTTTCGTGTTTGATCTGCGTCGCAAATTTGCAGCCGTTCAGGATGTAGCTTTAACGTTTCAACTTAAAAAAATTATGCTTGCTGCTGTTGTCATTTTTCGGGAATCGGTTGTATGCACGTTGTCCGCAATTATGTCTGACGTTACGCTCTAGCAGTTCTAAAAAGTAGGCTGTGGTGTTATTTAAGGTTTCAAGATAAAGCTGAGTTAACACTACCCGGAATAGTTTTATTCGAAATGATATTACATTAGCACAGACGTAAAAGTGAACTTCATCTTTGGCTTTAATTCGTTAACACTTTTTATGTGTGTTGATGATCTTGATTTACATTAGGATTTGACGTAGGTTCTTGGCAGACTGTATTACTACGTGAATTCTTATATAAATAGGATAGACACTACACATAATCTTCTTGAAGTAGAAAGATTCCTGGCGGGAGTAAACAAACCGCGGATTGTTGTTTATTGTGCACTGCTTGCGTGATGAAACGAAAAGGTTAGTAAAGTTAATGTGCTTACGAATAAATTAGAAACAGTCATTAGCAAGTGTCGGCTCTGAGGCTAAGTCGATGCGAATGCCGGGGTACGGGTTAGACCGCAGCTGCGGGCCATACGCCTTGTGTTGGTTTTGACAGCGGTAACAGGGGACCGACCATCCAGAAGCAGTGGCAAACTACTGGACGTAAATTTGCCTAGAGAAACCACACAACAGCCAGGGGCTGCTGTGGTTGGTTCTGCAACGTCCTGTAAAGGATACGCAACTAACCATTAGCAAGTATCTACGCCGAATAGGTGGAATTAAATGTTATCACTAATATGCAAGAAGTAAAAATTCCAGTGAATCCATTGATCATTTCAGGTTGTGATTATAAAACCTGTTCACAACTTTATATTGGGAAATAGCAGGAGCACTAGAAAAAAAGAGGAGAAGTAGCAGCAGATAATCTTAGCTCTCAACCTTTCTGCAGTCATTTTGTCCCGTACACCAAGTCCCTTTACGACCCCCCCCCCCCACCCCCACCCAACACGGTCTATAGCATGTTGTTTCCACGAATCTACCTTAATACATGTATTATTCATCCCAGCTTGAACAGATCTTTATATCATAGTAGAGGTCGGCCTCAATGTCTTCCACTCATCTGTAATTCACCATCTTAGATGTCCTTAGGGAGTCTCTAATTGTGACCCAGCCACCTGAGTCGTCAGAGACTAAGTATTAGGAAAACTATTGTGATACCTGCTCTTTCTAATGCCTTAGTGTTTATGATCTTGTCTTTTCACTTAATGCCACGTATTCATTCTTCTTAAGCATCGCATGTGACAGCTATTTAGCAGTTTCTCTAGTTGTGAATAAGCTGCAAAGTTTCGCTGCCGTGAAAAAGGGTGTCGAGAACACAAGCCTGAAAGACCAGAGTTATTGTTGTCATCGTGAACTGTCTTTTCTCGTAAACTATTCTTGCTAATGTATTCATTGTTTTTCCTGCCTTGCCTTTATTAACACATTATATTCTCTGTACTCCTTGAGTGGGTTCCGGAGCCCCATTGTGGGAAAGGGGGGAAACCAGAATAGACCCACTAACTCCACAGCAAGTATGCCGTAGGAGTCGACTAATTGGGGGCTTCCTTCGATGTCGAAGTGCGTCTGCCCGAGCGGCAAAGAACAAACAACTGCACACAAATAGGCCAGTAAAACGGATATAAACGCAAAACTCAGGTCTTGGCACAAAGCCAAAGTCTAAATGGACGAACAACTCGGACTTTTAGCAGGAGCTTACAGCAAGTGAACATAATGTTCGTATGTACATAAAAAGACGAAGCTCCATACATTCACGTATAATCACTTCATACTTACATTTTGTGATTATACAACCACATATGTTTGTTTACCCTTGCCAGAACAGAAAGCTGATGTTGCCGGAAAGTTGACAGATCCCGCTAGGAAAATGAAAGTGGTTTTAGTGGGCGATCTGTGCGTTGGTAAAACATCCCTTGCTAATGTCTTTGTCAGCAATCATTTTCAAGAAAATTACACATCAACAGTTGGAGGTAAGTTTAGACAGTAAATTCATTATTGGTGAACGTGCAGCACCTTACACGAAGTTGAGAAACTCAGCAGGACCAAACATGTTTACATAGGAGCAGGGTTTTCTATAAAAGTAAAAGGTGCAGGTACTTACCATAAGGGATTCGAAAAGGTGCCGGCACTAACATTTAAGGGTCTACTAGAGTAGCCCTTTATCTCTTTCAGCCCCAAACAAGGCAATATGTCTGACTGGATTTACTCTTGTGCACAAGTTAACATATTATTGTGCTTGTACATTTTGTGTTTTGTCAGGGCATAATAAAACACTTAACAACATATTTGTTCCAGCAAGAGATCTTCTTCTTCATTTTGTTCGCTTCAAATAAATTATCTGTATCTGATATGTTGTCTCTAGTATGACCTTCCCTGTCTTTTGTAATTCACTCAGCGGCCCGTAAAGTTTTGCTTCAACCAGTGACTCTCTTGGCCAGAGGTTTTGCCTAGAAATTTTTTATCTGGGAGTCTGGGAGGATGAGATCTGTTGTCTCAGGTGCCAGTCCACATGTGCACAGGGCTGATTCGCCAATTTTAAATTGTATGCACTTATGGTTGCGAAGTCGATTGTGCCCTGTTCGAAGGCGTAGAATAATGACTTGCTCAGGTCTGTCCATAACATTGTAATGGTCTTGTGCCAGTTTTTTGTGGCTTAATATTTGATTTGTATTTGGGCCCTGTGGATGTAGTATACCCATTATTTTGTTGATTTCACAGTTGACTCACTGGGGAGTCAACTGTGACCTTCTGGAATGGAAAGTTTTAAAAAAATGATGCATAAAAAAGCGTCGGTATTGTCTACAGTTGAGTATCACCAGAAAGAAAAGAAAAAAACACAGGGATTTAGGTGTTTGGTAGATTTTAGAACCTAAAAATAACATACACGTAAATAACATTTACAATAATGGGCAAGGGCGCGGACACTGGGTGATTGGGGGGTGGTGGGGGTGCCGTTCAAACATTTTACATTTTCCAGGAGATGAGGTGGTTGTTTAAGGGCCTAAGTCTTGTTTAAATGCCTATTGATGATGATAATGACGACGATGATGATGATGATGACAGTGATGATAAAAGTGTGCTTACTGATAAATAAATATAACATAAATTTCGTAATAATTTAATATGGATAAATAAAAACTTTAAAAAATAATAACTTCTGTACGTGGTGGGTGGCGCAGCTTAGCCCTGTTACAGATTTAAGGGACAGATTACTAATTTAAGAATCGACATCACAGCACACCGGGCATACCCATAGATGCTCCGTTTGAAACAGCAAAATATCGTAAGGTGTAAATGCTAACTGTTCCCGTAGCACACTGATTACACACACACCCCGATCTCTTCCTCTCACTCGTCCTCCCTTGCCGCATCCACACTTAATTCCTCGTTCACACATTCTTGCTCATTTAATCTAATCGTGGATCCTCCTTTAACATTCGTTCATATATGGTCTTCAGGGGGACATTTCACAGGTAGTTATCGTGGATCCTCCTTCAACATTCGTTCATATATGGTCTTCAGGGGGACATTTCACAGGTAGTTATCGTGGATCCTCCTTCAACATTCGTTCATATATGGTCTTCAGGGGGACATTTCACAGGTAGTTATCGTGGATCCTCCTTCAACATTCGTTCATATATGGTCTTCAGGGGGACATTTCACAGGTAGTTATCTTGGATCCTCCTTCAACATTCGTTCATATATGGTCTTCAGGGGGACATTTCACAGGTAGTTATCGTGGATCCTCCTTCAACATTCGTTCATATATGGTCTTCAGGGGGACATTTCACAGGTAGTTATGGTTCTGCCCCCGCCGTCCTTTTTCTCCCCATAATTCTGAGGAAGGGGGCTTAGGTGCTTAGCTAAGCCCACGGGTTCCTGCGCCCATGATAGTGAATATATTCAGAGTGGTGTGGGGTTTGCAACAAATCCGATTGTTATATTTGATCGAAGGCTACCAGGTGAACCCAAGCGCCTAATGCTTGACGGCAGAGAAATGTTCTTTATTTTATTTAATAATAAAAGTAAAAGTAAGGACTCTTTTCCACGCCTTCAGGTGTGTTGGGCATATAGGACTGACCTATATTTGATAGACCAATCAACACTTGGTTTATGATGTGGTCAGCATCACACCAGCCCATTTACTTCCCAGGACTGCACCTGATACCCGCTCAAGGCTGGGTCGACCTGGGAGCCAAGTTCGTTTTTTTTAAATATCCAGCTCTTCCAGGATCTGAACCCACGATTTTTCGATACACAGGCGAGAGTCTGGCCGATACGACCTACCCAGCCCCCCCCCCCCCTTTCTTCCGTTTTATAATTAAGCATCCCTTCAGCTAGCGTCTTCTCCGGGGTTTGCAGGTATGTTGGGAAATTATCCTGAAGACTGAGTGGCTGAACCACTGGTTGGTAACTTGATACATAGCAGTCTAGATGGGGTCAAGGCCCTTTGGGAGCTAGTAAACAATGGGGAAGCGCGAACAGAATATTATATATATATATATATATATAATGTGTGTATGTATGTATGTATATTATATATATATATATAATCAATCTGCTGCTGAAACCATCGGAATAGGAACTCTTAACCACTGAAGATGAGGACGTAGCGCGTATCGGAATGTCCTGAATACTGTAATGTCGATTCTTGACTCAACTTTACCTAATTGTAAATTCATAATGACATTAAAATTCGTCTTTTTAGTTGTCAGGAGAACGTCAGTTGATAAGTCATAGAGTGTTCGGGGAATATCGTTGGCTAAGATTCCAAACCGGAAAGGTATCGTACATCCTTGATAGTCGCAGTGCCAGCCATAGCGCATGCTGTCTCATTGCCTTTCACATCTGGAACTTAAAAAAAAAAAAAGTGATTTTGTGAATCGCTGCCTGCTGCATGAGTTAAATCGAGAGCAAAGATGACTAAAGAAGCGATGTCGACTGTTTGAATGATTGAATTAATCAATAATGGGCCTCACTGCACTTGAGACATTCTACAGCACATAAATAATGAGATTTTACTGGACCACAATTACAGACGACCAGCACTTTCGAGAACAGCGAGGACGATTCAGAAATAAACTGTAAACAAGCTCCTATCAAGATTTTAACCTTGTATTCATTAAATTTCACTATCACTGCACATAAAGTGTGTAGATGAGACATAAAACAGTCCACAGTCGATTAAGATCTATGTCAGGGACGCAAGGTTGGGCCAACTTTTTGTTGCGAAATCTATTATTTCGTGCTCCTCGCTGGAACTCTTATGTTCGGTCAGAGGGTCGTGTTAGCGCAGTCGATAAGAGGCTCGCTTTCAAATCCAGCTGCGACTCGCTACAACCCGGTGTTCGAAACCGGACGGTTTCCAGGATTCACCCAGACTCTAGGAAATGGGTACCATAGTGACACTCTGGGGTAAGTGGAGGAACGTCGCTGTAGCTACAGAGTTACATGCGGACAGCGACACAGGCAGATAATTTCTTATCAGCTGTCCGTACTGGTGGCAGAGCACTTATGGTTTATAACCGTGTGCAATGACGCTGTTTCACATCTCCCGACTTTACCTTTTTTTTTACTTTAGTGTCTTGTGTCCGACTCACGCTGTCTTATACTTAGATTACACTGAAGCCTCCTGATCCAACCATACGGATTCAGGATCTCGATTACAGTCTACCGTCTCGCACCCATTCTCTACCGCTCTACACGTTAGCATATATCTGTGTAACGCTAGAGTCACTTGCATACTTTAGTCTACTTTAGTCTGCATTGATATTAGCTGCAGAAGCGGAAAATATGTAATACAAGAACTCTCTCGCCAACGTTACACATCCCAAGAAAAATCATCGACATAGAACGAACGAACGAACGAACTTTATTTTCAAAGGGTCACAAATTGGGCACGCAGGCCCGTCTTACATTCGGCCCTTCCAGTCAACCATCTTTCGCACAGCAGTTGTATTTTACTAATAAAGCATGTTATGATCATATGATGTTATGCATATTATGAATATTATAAAAGACACAAAAGCATGAGTTGTAAAGTGCATGCAAAAACCCGCGCGTGCATACATACACCCGCATACACACGCTCACCCACTCACTTACACACACAAACATGCATGCATACATTACATACATACATACGCAGATACATATAAACAAACATGCATACACACATACACACAGGCATACGTACACACAAACATGCATACATAGATACAAACATACAGGCATATATACATACATTCATACATACATACGTAATACAGGCATACACACATATAGTCATAAATCCAGTCATGCATGGAGACACACACATGCACACACGGACACTCCCACATAGACACAAACACTCAGACAAAAATACAGACACACACACAGACACTTACATATAAACACACACAGGGAAACACACAGCACACATATTTATATTCGTGCTCACACACTGACACACACACATACGCAGACAAACATGCAGACACATACATACAGCCACATAGACACACACGCAGTCAAACACACACACACAAATACAGACAAACAGGCAGACAAACACATACTGACACCCACAGAGACAAACACGCAGAAATGCATATACATACAAACACATAGAAATACACACGCAGACACATATATTCAGCACGCACAGACATATACTCTGACATGCAGACACATACAGACAACAAAGGGGCACACACAACACACACAGAGAAACACGCATAGACATGCACAGACAGACAGACACATGCTGACACATACACTCACGCAGACAGACATACAGACACCCACACACAGAGATACATACATACAGCCTCATAGACACACCCGCAGACAAAACACATAAACATACACAGGCAAACATGAAGACAAACACATACGGGGACACACACAGACACAAACGAAGATATACACACAGTCACATCAAATATGCAGAAAAGGAAACCAGTTCACACTGAAACATACACGTGGA